TGTTGAAACCGAAGGATGTGCCTCTTCCGTTCTGGGAGTGTACACACAAGTGTATATGGACTTTATCTGACTGTCCCTCTTTGTCTAATCTTACCATTTTCTTTTTCTTTTTGTGTTACCTGTCTTCTGTGTATTTGTCAATAAGTGATAGCCTCTTTGGTGTATTTGAACTAATAAACTACTTCTAATCGCAAGCTACTCCAAAACTACACACTAGTTGTGCTTTTGTTTGAAATCGATAGTTGATGTTATCCATAATGAAACAATACTGTTGAAAAAAATGGTGTAGATCATTTTTCAAGGTTTGACTGGTTAGCACAATCCTCTGCTGATACAAGCTGTAACTACTCTCTGGCTGAGAGCGTCTTCATTCACAGACGGTCCTAAATATCTGTATTCTGAGGAAAGAAAACCACAAGTCATTACTTTGTGTTTTACCAGTGATTGATTTCTTGGTTTAGGGGGCTGTTTTGGGGGTTTGTTCCAGATGAGTAACCGCCATTGATGCTAACGTTAAGTAGTGCTTTATACAATACAGATTGTGTCGAAGTAGCTTTTCAGGAAAATAAAAAGAGGACAGTATTAACCAGTCGATTGTTCAGTTCGTTGTTGATTCGGTTCAGTTTAATAATTGAGTGAAGTTCATCAATTATGCATTGTTTAATTCATCTACTATAAAGCACCTCTGTAGAACAGCGACGTCATCGTCCAGCTCAGTTCAGTTCTCATCCAAAAGTGTCTGTGCAATCAAGTTGATAATATTGCCAAGTATCAAGTGTCCCCAACTAAGCCAAAAGGCGACAGTGGCAAGGAACCAAAACTCCATCGGGGGCCAGTTCTGCTCTGTCCAGATGAAACCAGCATGGGGTGGTTTGATTCCAGTGTGCAACACACACCAGACTGGACTGCATAGATGCAAACGCCTCACCTTTCGGTGACAACTCACTTTTTAGAGAACAAAATAGGACACCTATGAGATCTAATCAGCCAATATCGGCTTAGCCTGCATGTGTACATCATCTTTTATAACATGGGATTTTGACCAAATATATTTAATCTTGATTTTTGTAAAATCTTGTTAAAAATGTTTTTTATTCATTTATTTTGTGAAAAATTAGTTTTGGACATATAAGGTAATAAAAAAATATTTTAAAAAGCATGTAAAGCAAATATCTTTAAAAGAAATTCCATGTGGAGCATGCCCCCGATCTGCACAATGTTTTCACCTTTTGCCCCCTTAGCTGTTTGCACCTTTGGTTTGGACTGGTATTATTCTGAATATTCATCTAGTTCCTTCTGCTTGAGGATTGGGATACATCACATGGTGAAGGAGTCAAAGCAAATGGTTAGCTCTCTCCAGATATTAAGCCTGAAGTCCAAGCTGAATGTAAGTTTGTCACTACCCAGAATATCACACATCCACTTATTTCAGTTCTAGCATTATAAACGGTTATTGCCGTAACATTTACGTGAATGTTAAGCAGCATTATCGTTACTGGGTGAATAATTGATAAGGTGTGAACAACTGGCAAGATTGCAGCACCTACAACCACAGCCATTAGTTGTTTTAGAGGTAGGGCAAGTTATTGCATTTTGGTGAAATATATTCATGAGCATAACAAACTGACGTATCATTCACACTAAGACCAGGTCATGTTTTTGAATCTAAAACAGAATTTATTTTGCGGTCAGTAAGATTTTTGGTCCCACTTTATATTGTGTCCATAATACCTGTGTACTTGCATAGTAACTAGATGTGTACGTAGTATGTAACCACAGTGTAAGTACACATTGGTACATAGTACCTGCAGCTGTAATATTTCTGAAACTACACACATGTAACAACCCTCGGGATGGTTTGTGTAAGTACAAATGTGTAACAGGACATTGGTAGCAACACTTTTTTCACTTCACCAAGTACTCGTGTAACAGGAATTATAAAACTACATTTTATAACAACAATATGTATAAGAGTAATTGGAACCATTTGATCCAGGGGGTGGAGATGGGTAGGTTTAGGGATATGTAAAGTGGGAGGAGTTGGATCTCGAGTTGGTGCACCACTGTAATACCAGTGTACTTACATGGTAACTCCTCAGGAACTGTCCACTTAATATAAAGTGTAACATTCTGGACACCAACCACAATTGATTTGTAAAGCCTAACTTGCTGGCCGCTGTTGTGTAACATCAGAGTAATTACATGATAAATCCAATATAAAGTGTAATGCTTTCTTTACCAAAAAGTGCTGTTAGTCCAGTTACACATTTGTATTTACACATACCATTCAGTGGGTTGTTACATATGTGTAGTTACTCAAACATTAGAGCTGTAGATAGTATGTACCAATGTGTACTTACACTGTTGTTACATACTATGTACACATCTTTAGGGACACAATATAAAGTGGGACCAGATTTTTGAATGTTTTTGAACGAAGGTTTTCTGCTCACAAAGGCTGCATTTATCTGATGAAACAGTAAAAACAGTAATATTGTGAAATATTATTACAACTATGTTTTCTATTTTAATGTGTTTTCAAATATAAATTATTCCTGTGAAGGAAAAGCCGAAAAGTAAAACCAATAGGTGTTTATAAAAAATATTTATCAATGTTGAAAACAGCTGTGCTACTTATTGTTTTTCCAGAACTGAGATACCTTTTTCAAGGATCCAGGCAACAATTTAATGCACCCTTGATGAATGAAAGTATCAAATTAAAAAGTCAGATTGACCCCAAAATTTTTAGTGTATGAACATTGTAATAGACAGCTAAATAATCTCAAATAAAATTAATCTTTTATACAGCATGGTAGCATTTGTTGTCTTCAGTGTTGGGAAGGTTACTTTGGAAATGTAAAAGGTTACAAGTTTCCCTAAAATGTAGTGTAACTATTTAAATTATTAAAGTAACTGATTTTTTTTAATTAATTTTTTATTACTTTTCTAAATTTCTAAGGAATGTTTTCAACTGTTAATCATTTTCTAATATTTAAAGCAGGCAGGGTTAACCTTACAGTAGTGCTCAACACTGATTACTGTCAGACTTTCAGAATCCTCCATCACTTGAATTAAGATTATATTAATTTAATTTGAAAGCACAGCCAACACAAAATCTGACTTTAGCACCTCTTTTTACTTTGAGATCTCTGAGCATAAATACAGATTTAAAATCATGAGATATACAACCCCAGTTCCAGAGAAGTTGGGACATTTTGTAAAATGCAGTAATCGGTGATTTGTTAATTCTCTTTAACTTTTATTTAATTGACAATAGTACAAAGAAAAGTTTTCACTGACCAACGTAAATGTATTTTGTAAATATGAACAAATGTTGTTTTTGACGGCTGCAACACACTCCAAAAAAGTTGGGACAGAGTCAAAATAAAAGTGAAAAGGTTATAGAATATCCACGTTTAAACTGCTTTTAAAACAGTTCACAGTAAGCAGGTGAATTGGTCAAGGTATCATGTTTGGGTTAAAAAGGAGCATCTCAGTCTTTGCAAGAAAAGCTGGGATTGTATGAGTGAATGTGTTAGACCAGCCTGCCTGCAGTCCAGACCTGACTCCTATTGAAAACATATGACTAGTCATGAAAAGGAGAATCAGACAACGACAATCGCAGACTGCTGAGCTTCTGAAGTCTCGTATCAAGCGAGACTGGGCAAAGATTTTGCTTGCAAAACTTTAACAATTAGTATCCTCAATTCCCAAACAATGAAACATTGTAATTAAAAGTAAGGTTGATGGGACACAGTGTTAAACACGCCACTTTCCCAACTTTTTTGGAGTGTGTTGCAGCCATCAAAATCAAAATTTGTTCATATTTACAAAATACATTTACGTTGGTCAGTGAATTCTTTGGAAATCTTTTCTTTGTACTTTTGTCAATTAAATAAAAGTTAAAGAGAATGAACAAATCACAGATTCTTGATTTTATTGCATTTTACAAAATGTCCCAACTTCTCTGGAATTGGGGTTGTAGTTAGGTTGGCTGCTACTTAAGCTTAATATTATTATTATTATTATTATTCTTAGACTAAATTTCTGAATGCTCCTAGAGCTTTCAAGCTAGAACCACCAAACTCAGCCCAGCTTTCATAAAAATGAAGATTAAAAATCATAAAAATCATGTCACTTGCTAATCATGCTAGCAACATGTTAGTAGCATGCTAATCATACTAATCACTTGCTAGTCATGCTAGCAACAGGCTAATCATATGCTAATCTTGCTAGCAACATGCTAATCATGATAAAAAACATGCTAGCGACATGCTAGTAATTTGCTAATCATGCCAGCAATATGCTAGTAACAGGCTAATCTATCTAAATTTTCAAACTTCAGGCTTTTACAACTGCTTTAACTTTTCAGCTTTAAAGTTTGTCTTGAACTTTTTTATCCAGTTTAATAGATATGATGCTGTTTTTGAAATCAAATCCTTGCATTGCTGTGACAGGAAACACTGGAATATAACAATGCCTTGGAAACACATTTTTAATCTGAAAAAATAAAGCAATATACACTTACCCAAATAGAAAATCAAATGATCATGTGTCCTATTCTGTATCCTAAACTCCTGAAACATTGGTGTCTCATATTTCGAAGCAGTCAATGCAATTTGGGATAGAAATCAATTAAATCTTTGTGTGTGTGTGTGAGTAAATATTCATATGTAATGAATGATTACACCCTTTGTAATCGTTAACATTTTCATAAGTAACTAATTTAATTACACTTTTTTTCAGTAACACTAACAGATTAGTTACTTATTTTGGTTAACACTTTATTTTAAGGTGTCCTTGTTACATGTTACATGTAATTACAATAGTATTAGCACAAAATTATGCATAATTACATGCAATAACCCTAAACCAATCCCTAATCCTATAGTAAATACGTGTTGTTAATTAATATTACTCAGTACTTAAATGTATAATTACACTCTAACAAAGGCACCTTAAAATAAAGTTACGTAATTCCGTTATATGTAACTCGTTACTCCCCAACACTGGTTGCACTGGTTTTCATTTTTATGCTGACTTAATAAAAAATAAAAAAACATTGAAAAGCTGATTCTCAATTCTTATAGAAAATCTAAGATCAGCAAAGAAAAGCATTTGCACTGAAATGTATCCCAATTATGCTACATCTAAAGAATAAAATCCTGTCAACTGGTGCATGATATTACTGCACTGACATTGATATCCATAACCAGTTCCATTCAGTCCAATAAAAGCTTTTCAGAAACAGAAGTGCTCTTAGGTAATGGACGGCTCTTTCTCCTCCACATTCAGCACTGTGTTGGTGAGAACGCCAGCCTCCTCCAGGCTCACGTCTGCAGCAGCGATCAACACGGTCCTCGGGTAGGATGTACACAGCGTGTAGAGAGCAGGATGGTATCCTGTCTTCATCATCCAGTCAAGAAGCAGCTAATGACAATAAGACATGAACATAACCTTTGCATCTTCTCTACTCAAACCAGATCACAGTAATCAGGGAGACTCACCAGAGAACTCCAGGATTTGAGGAATGTCCTGTAGATCGTTCTTCCGCTTGGACATCTTAGAGCTATTTTTACAACCTGTCAGTGAATTACAGAGCAGAGATGTAACTATAAATACATGCCTTCACAGAAGAAAGTACCAGTTATTATTGGGTCATGATCTGCCTCTTGTTTTTATTTCTTGTGCTATATTTTCTGTGGTGTAAGTTCACTCACCCCCTCAGTATCCGCTGATGGCTCGTCAGGCAAAACTATGACCTTTAACGGGAGAAAAAAACATTTCTTCCACACAGGACTATAACACAGGTGGACGTTTCTGAAAGTGCTACATACATTTACAGTTGTGGTCAGAATTACTGGCCCCTCCCTTGGTAAATATGAGCAAAGGATGCTCTGGAAAAAAAAAGTTCTGCATGGTTTATACTTTTGATCTTTCATTACAAATAGTCTTTGACATAAAATTCCTTCTGATGTTCACTCATGTTTATTTCGTGCTTTAAGTAAATATGAAAAGATGATCGGTTCACGTGTGCCGCTTGAATTGAGGCGCTACAGTGATCTGTCACTGCACTTTTTTTCTTTTTTGTTTTAGATGCAAGTTTTTTATATGCAATATGCAAGTTGAATAGTGTGTTTTAGGTGACAGCAGAAGATTTTTCTCTTGAAATCCTCCCAAACAGCTTGTAAGGGATGTCTGATATCGTTTTAAGGCTTTTGACCCCAAGACTCAACTAATTTCTGCAATTCTCCAGCTGTGATACTTTGAGAGTCTTTGGCCACTCAAACTATCCTCCTCACCACGCAACAAGACAATACAGACGTCTTCTTCCAGGCAGATTTGTAGCAATTTTCAATGCTTTAGCTCTTTACTTACAGCCACTTTCTAATTTGTGAAGTTTAGCAATCTTGTTCTGTTTGTGATGGAGGATGATGAAAGGATTTAGGCCTTTGTGTTCCCTATTTATATTTATAGTCCTGTGAAATAGAAAAGTCATGGCTTTGTATTCACCCTGATGTGCTAAAATGTGAATATGAATATGAATTTACTTCAGAGATATTTCTAGGGGTGCTAATAATTGCTGGTCAACATGCACTGGAGAAAACATGAATTTAATTTCCCCTCCCGCTTTCAACTGTTTTACTTCAATGAAAGGAAATTGTTTTGAGTGAAAAATCGAAAGGGTAAACAAACAATGCAGAACTTTCCACAGCCCTCGCTGCTCATATTTACCAAGGGGGCCAATAATTCTGGTCACAACTGTATGTCTATAATCAAGAGATCCTTTAGAGCACCTTTCCAAGAAAAAGGCTTTTATTCACCTTCTTCTGCTTGGGCACTTCCTGTTGAACAGGATCTTGGGTAACGGTCTGAAGAAGCTTGCGTCTCCTTCTGGCTCCCTGATTAGGATTCTCGTCTACACCAGCATCACCACACCTTTGGTCCTCTTCCCCCTGAACCATATCATAGGTGCAGTCAGTAATCTAAATTGTTTATCTATGTTTCCAATAGTGTCATTTCATCCTATTTTTTTTTTAAGCTGCTCGCATAAAATTCAAGGCATTGATGTTTGCCTACAAAACCACCACTGGCTCTGCACCCCTTTACCTAAATTCATTACTTCAGACTTATGTGTCCTCTAGAAGCTTGCATTCTGCAAGTGAACGGCATATTATTGTTCATCCCAAAGAGGCACAAAATCACTTTCACAGACTTTTACATTAACTGTTGAGTCCTTAACCATCTTCTAGAAACGACTAAAACCACATCTGTTCCACCTTTATTTGACCCTCTAATTCTAACACTAACTCTATTCTTTATAAATAAATAAAAAAAAACTTGTCTCTGTGCATTTACTAACTGCTTGTTTTCTTTTTAAAAAACTAACACTAGCTTCTCTATTCTTTTTGTATTCTATCTATTTGTTTTCTTTTTATTTATTATATAATTTAAAGAAAAACCTTGCTACGTGTACTGCGTTAAGCTAACTGAGTCATAGCACTTGCGTATCATTGCTCTTTTGTTGATTTTGATTGCTTCTATTGTCCTCATTTGTAAGTGGCTTTGGATAAAAGCGTCTGCTAAATGATTACATGTAAATGTACTTTAATTCTTATTTTTAATTGTTTTAAAAAAGAAGTAAAAACAGAAGAACACCCGTCATGTTCTGGGTGATAGTGCGTCTTCTCACCCCGACAGGAAAACCCCGGCTCAGTTTCCAGGTCTCTCCTGTCATCCGATGGTATCGTTCCATTCTCTGCTGGAGTAACACGCTCTGCCTCGGCTTTATCACACTTTCAGCATAGTCAGATGTCTTCATATTATGAGAAACAACACATGTATCATTACAATATTTTATATTCATATCATACTCATCTGCAGTGGAACATTTCATATTGATTCACTTTTAAAGACAGAGTCATGTGTTGAACCTTGTCATTGTGTTGATGTTGTTGAGCTCTTCTGACTTGCTCTTCTTTCTGTCTGTTGGATTCAAGCAGGGGGCCTGCGAGATGACCAACGTCAACTTTAATTATAAAAATAAGCTTTTACAGAAAATACACAACTACACAAACATCAGATTGTCCGTTGAATGTACGCACTGTCTGGGAGCTCTTGACACACTGGAAAGAAGAAATATTTCAGCCTCGGGAACATGTAAATCAGCCATGTGCAGATGCCCAGGAATATGAACCCGCGTCCAGCCAGCTTCAGAGCATCTTTAACACCTTTAACACACATGATCACACATGTAAAACACCTGCCATCTTGAATTTTAGTTGTCCTGGCTCACTTTATCACTTGCAACTGCAACTGCAGTAGCATTAGCCAAGCTGATTTTCAAGATTTATAGCAATGATCTCAAAATAAGAACAATATCCAATTCCAAATGAAGACATTTGGATCAAAAAGTTATCATAATTTGATAAACAATAAGATGATGTAATGATTCCAAGTTAATATTAGTAATTTCAATGTTTTTCTTCCTCTCCTAAAAGTGAGCTTAGCTTAGCATGATGAAATTCTGGATTTTCTGCTTTCATTTTTCTGCCAGAACAATGATTATCATGATAGAGTCTTACCAATCAACGAGTGTTTCCACGAAATGAAGCAAAATCCTGCCAGTAAAACACAGACCACAACACATCTGTTAGACATGTCAGCAGTGTACGAATCACAACACGGATTTCAACGGAACGCGTTTCAAAATAAAAGCCAACGGACGCGAAAAACTATTCTGCAGAAGAGTAACCTTCCCAATTTTCACAAACAGGCATTGTTATCATGGATTATTATATACAAATCCTCACATTTTTTCCCCTCACAAATGTTTAATCTGGAATAATAAATACATTACACACCAAAATAAATCTCTTTTTTTTAGTTAATTGGTTTAGAACAAATGTTTTGTTGGTTTCTCAACTTCTGAATAGTAGTAATGGTCATGCGCTTACATATTCAGAGTTTTTAAAAACATTTTCATTTTATATACCTGTTAAGGAGTATATGATGGTAATTAATGCCATTCATTCAGAATTTAGGAAATTATTCGAAAATGATATAGTCGAAAAAACAAATTTAGATTTCAGTGTAAAACTGGAAGGTATAAATATAAAAGAACAAAAATTTAATAATAATTATCTTAGAACGATTTGCCAAATGTCCAGTGTTCCTTTAGCCATTGGTTTTTGGAGATCACAATTTCAAGATGTCAACTGGAAAGAAACCTTTAAGATCTCCAGACGTTTTTGTATCACAAATAAAATTAGAGAAGTATCGTACAAGATCGTTCATCGTATTTATCCTGTAAAACAGCTCATTGCAAAGTTTTGTAAAGACATTGACTTGAAGTGTGTTTTCTGTAAAGAGGAAAATGAGAGTATTGTTCATTTATTTTATGATTGTATTTATACAAAATTATTTTGGTGTGATTTTTTTTGTTGTTAAACAAAGTATAGAGAATGAGGAGTTACGTCACGATCTTTTCACTCCGCATTGCATTTCGGGAAGGCGCCGCCATATTAGCAGGATACGCTATCCGTTCCCATGGTTACTTCTCATTTTCAAGGATAAATGCTTCCCTTTTGTTTTGTTTTTGCCTTTAAGTTAAACAACCATTCACTCTTCATTGTATCGTTTGCAGGGAAGATAAGCTATTTTATCGCACTGCATGATATGCACTGCATTTCTCTCTTAGGTTTTGTAGAATTTGGTTTACAGTGTTTAACGTTACCCGATTAGCGTGAAAACCGCTGCAGTGATGCTAAAAGACATGCAGATGAGCCAGAATATCAACGCGACATGTTTAAATGTAAAGCGTTTTCCTCTCTTTAGAAAACTGTATTCTAGAAAGCGCTTCTGGATTAAGACAGCGATTTCTAAAGTTCATATTTTGGGCTCATCTGTTTTTCCACACATATTATGCTTTATTAGTAAGATGTGTGTACAGAATGTGGTCTTCAAATATCACTGTCTCGGTGCATTAAGCGCGTTCGCTATGTGACTGCAGTCACGCCATCTGCGCTTAATAATGCGCTGCGCGTCTACATGGCGTTGCGTGGTAGTGATGGCCATGCAGCCTCGAAACCTTTGCAAATATTTTCTTTTCTTTTTTTAAGAGTGGGTCTGAGCGCGTATCAAACTGAAACCACAGTCAATTAATCGATAATAATAAGCTAATTAAAAACACATTACACAGGCACTTCTTATTTAATGGTATTTTATTGTTTAATTGTGTGTAATGTATTAAACTTTCAATAAAACATTTGCAATGGGTTTGTAAAATGTCTTATGCATGTTTTGGCCTGAGACATTTGATGTTGGAATTGAATATTAAAAATTAATAAAAAAAAGTAGTATCACTGTGGTGATTGTCATGTCATGCTTACCAAAGTCCTGACCAATGCTATTTACATTGCTATATAGACACATTTTTAAAAAATCATTAAAAAAAGAAAATCTACAGGGCGTTGTAGACGCGCAGCGAAGTCACAATCACGACAAACAATCAAATACTGCCCTAAACTCAAGTGGAAAGGCAGCAGTATCCTGCAAGTATGGCGGATAAACAAAGCAGTTTCCCCAGAACTCAATGCGGCGTTACGTCACAATCTCAGTTCTAATTAATATTGAATTGCAACTCAAAGAAAAAAAAAAAAAAAAGAACCTGTGGGCCAGGCCAACATGGAGGGGCGTTTCCGAATGCGTCACTGGACTTACTGACGTCACAGTGGCACTCCGTTTCGAGGTGGCATCATTCATGTTTTTGGGAACATTTCCCATACAGAAAAGATGGTCAGGATCCAAGCCAAATTTCATTCATTTTCTTTAAGAGACTAAGGACTACTGCACCAGTTTGGAGAATATGAAAAAGCAGCAAAGACGACTTGTAATATTTTACAAATATGCAGTTTGATTCACGAATCAATGGTTTGTACACTCTGGAATGTTATGTACATTTTTGTAAACTTTATCCTGGTCAATAAAAAAAAAAAGCAAAAAAAAAAAAAAGCATAATTTATGTTTAGAAAAACCCACAAGTTTGAAGTCACCAACTTTTGCTCTGCAGAGACCCCACATTCCAAAAACGCTGAAATACAAACAGTTTTGTGAAGTTTTACTATACCTTACTTTATTACTCCATAATGGAGTTCTTAGGTTTGCATTGAGCTACTGCTCTGGTCACGGCATGCCAGGAGAGACAAGGTAAGATCTAGGTGTAGTTTATTGAAGGTAACAAATGATCAAAACGTGGCAAAAAGGGAATCAGATAACACGAAGAACATTAAACCACTATGAACTCGGAAGACAAAATAGAATATAGCAGCAATGACAGACAGAGAGCATGGTGTATATATATAGATTGGATAATGAGTAAATGACTAACAGGTGAATAAGATCGGAAATAATAAACAGGTGCTAATGATCAGACAAGAGACTATGGGAAATGGAGTTCACAATCATAACACAAAACAGAAAGAGCGCCCTCAAGTGGCCAGTCCAGGGCACCACAACCAGACACTGTGACATTACCCCCTCCCCTCCACGGAGCGGATACCAGACGCTCCACCAGAACACACAAAAGGTCAGGAGGGAGGTGGAATTGAGGCAGACCAGGGGGAGGGATGGTGGGCCAGGACCATATAAATGGAAGGGGGCCAGGGGACAGAGCTAGACCAGGGCATGAGCACAGAACCGGCAGGGTGAAAGGCCAAGGCGGGGCCGACTGGATGAACCAGCAAGGCCCCATCCACAGGAATCCCAGCAGATAGCCAGGATGGAGCCGGAGGAATGAGCCAGTCAGGCTCCTGCCAAACAGGAACCCAGGCGGGCAACCAGAGCAGAGCCGGAATCCTGCCAGGCAACACTGGTGGAACAGAAACCCCTCTCAGCGACTCAGAAAACTGTAAACAAGAGCAGAGAGAGTTTAGTACCAGCCTCGATGGCTGCAACAGGACAGGCCGATTGAGCCGCAACGGTCCTTGTGAGCTCCCAGACTGGAGTGAATTCCTTAATGAGCTCTGAGAGCTACCGAACTGGAGCGGGCTCTGAATTGGACCTTATGAGCTCCCGGACTAGAGCGGGCTCTGGAGTGGGTTCCCGGGCTCTGGAGCGGGCTCTGGAGTGGGTTCCCGGGCTCTGGAGCGGGCTCTGGAGTGGGTTCCCGGGCTCTGGAGCGGGCTTTCCTGTCCTCCTTCTCACCCTCCGTCGCTTAGTGGGAGTATAGGGGTGGTGGGAAAATCCCTGCGGAAGGGTTCTGACTGGCCTGGTTCTGCCCACTGACCTCGACCCTGGAGATATCTGACGAAGCCCCAGAAGTCCAGGGTCTCAAGTCCTTTCATCTCCCACTGGGGCAAAGTATCATCTAGACAGACGTTAAGGAGGTCCTTAAGAGTAGCATCATTATAATTTAGGCCCACCGCCAACATCCAAAAGGTCTGGGCAAAACCACCAACCTCCATTCCTTCCTGCCTCCAAGCCATCAGAGTCCAGTGTCGGATTATTCGCTCCCTCCCTGTGGCAGGTGGGACGATCCGAAGGTCCATGGTTCACAAAAAAAGGTAAAAAGAAAAACAAACTGCTGGATCTTGTAGTGGCTGCTATATTCTGTCACGGAATGCCAGGAGAGACAAGGTAAGATCCAGGTGCAGTTTATTGAAAGTAACAAATGATCAAAACAGAACAAAAACGTGGCAAAAGGGAATCCATAACACGAAGACCATGAAACCACTATGAACTCAGAAGACAAAATACAATATAGCAGCAATGACAGACAGAGTGAGCACGGTATATATAGATTGTATAATGAGTAAATGACTAACAGGTGAATAAGATCAGAAATAATAAACAGGTGCTAATGATCAGACAGAATGACAGACAAGGGACTATGGGAAATGGAGTTCACAATCATAACAAAACAGGAAGAGCGTCCTCAAGTGGCCAGTCCAGGGCACCACAACCAGACACTGTGACAGCTCTAATTCAGTTTTTTTTTCTGTTCTGTGCTGTAACGGATCCATGCAAATTTCAGCAGCAAGATCGCAGTCATAGAATATTAAAATGAAGGAATAATAAAACCTAATCCAACTGAAAGATTCTGTGACTGCGATCTTGATGTCATTTTTTTTAATTCTGTGACTGGGATCTTGCTGCTGAAATTAGCATAAATCTGTTACAACACAGCAGAAATAAACCGAGTTAGAGCACTCTAAATATCAGTGTCATTCAATTAATATAGGTAATTAGGTTTATATTAGTTTATTATTATGAATATAGTAGACTACCACTACATCGAGAAAACATTCTA